GCGGTTCAGTTCCGTGATGATCGCCGCGTGAATCACGGAAGGAGTTTTCAAGCTCTCTGCTTGTGCCTACAGACGTATAAGTATTTCACAAATATTGTCCTCTTCTTTTCCCCTCAACTCCCAAAAATCCACTGTTTTCACGCATAATAGCCTAGTGGATGTTAGTTCTTGTGATATCACTTGTGAAAGTCTGTGATATATGTCGTGCTTACGCATTCGATACTAGTGATACTGTGTTATAATTATTATATTAATTCTTTTCTTTTGAAAAGTCTGTTATTTAATGGACATTTTATTAATTCCCTATGATAAGATATCATTGGAAACAGGTAAATTATAGATTCCATAATTATTCCACCTAATTATTTGTTTACATATGCATACACGAGCTCTCGCGCACACTTTTCTCTCTGTCTCTGTCTCTGTCTCTGTCTCTCTCTCTCTCTCTGTCTCTATCTGTCTCTCTCTCTCTCTCTCCCATCTAAATTTCAACTCTCTCCGTTTCTGCGAGCGTATGTATGCATGTACGAGAGTACGCACGCGCTCATGTATGTGTACCGTAAGCCGTGTACTGATGCCTCTGCGGAGTTTTGCACGTGTATGTATATACGTATTAGCTATAAAATGGTTATGAATGTCGTATCATATATTATATTGTCAATGTATTAAGAGGTATCAGGCTTTTATTATTATCAATTGAATATTTAATAAATATGATGGAGTATAATATGCAATTGTGCTTAAACTTCCGTAAGTTGTTTTGAGCAGTGTGCAGGTAACTGTGTATATTGTTTACCCAATTTTTGAAATACGAAAGTGATGATACGTAACTTGTATCACTTATAGTTATTGAAATAAATTATTGTGCGCAGATATTTTTTAACGCAGCACGAATAGACGGTATTAATTTAAACAATGCAAAATTTTAATTTGGATTTCCTATTGGATGCAGACATTGTTCTTTCCACTTAAATTACCTAATTTCTTTCGATGTAAAAATTTATTAATCCAGGCTTTCGTTACCAATAGATTATTATTGTTATTTATTTTCATTGGATCTGTGTTTTATAATTTGCACTTTAATATTTTGTTCCCTATTAATAATATTGATATATTTTATGATTATTACTATATGCATAATTGATACATACAAATTATTTATTACTGTCAAATAAAGAATGATAAAATTCCATAAATGTTGATGAATATCTCATAAACCATATGGTGCAGTGTATTGACATCGTGTCAATACATACGTATTAATTACATATGTTTAGGTCTATAAAGCATTTAAATTATACATACATATTTCGTAAATTTTTATTTAATTTAAAAAAAAACCATAAAATACGTATTATTTATTTATTATTGTAGCACGTGGACTATTTTTAATAAGCCTGCGAATTACTTAAAAGTAAAGCTATATTGTCTTTGTTTTTTTTTTTTATAGGATATCGTGCCATCAATAATAACACATTTTCAAGTTACACAATCATTATATAATAATTATATATTCTAAAGATTAGTCAAAAGCATATTGTCATAAGCCGTAATAAAAATATGTTTGGAAAATATTTATTCATATGCTAATAATTTAGTGCATCCGAGTAAAGATATTAATTACGGTAAAACAGTAACTAATTATCAAAGTTCAACATAAAGTAAATATTTTCATAAGACGAGATAATACTTTAATAGAAAATGTTTACAAAGTGCATAAACAATATTATAATAAAATTATTAAATTATATAACCTTTCAGAAAGCTTTAAGCATAAAGTAGCTTGAGTAATTAATATGAATATTACGAGTGAAATAAATATTATTTTATCTAAAATTAAATATTTGCATTAATAGTAGGTGAGAAAAAATATAAATGTTGTGAAAAACAACCGTGTATTTAATATAATTGAATTTCATATTTTAATGTAAAGTTTTTTTGAAAATTTATAAAATCTATTTTGACCTGATATGATGATGGATTTTAACATTTTATTGTTAAAGTCGCTAGACAGTTTTACCGAAACATATTTTATAATTTATGAAACGGGGTTTTATGTTTGATATTTATCACTTTCTAGGAACACTCAATTTAGAAAAACTATAAAATTAAACTACTAATTAGAGATCAATTTCTGCTTTTTTTAGATTGTCGTTAACAGATTGTGTTAATGCATGTTTCGTCATTTTGTATATTTTCAACATAACAAAATTTCTATCATTTTCTTTAAGGCAAAGAAGACGAGAATAAATTTAGTAAATATTTAATCAATGAAACGACGAAGCGGCGTAAAGTGTCTGGCGATTAGATGATTTAATAATAATATCAGTAAGAATAAATATAGAGATAAATGCAACGAAATTAGTTTGCACTTATTAATCGCGTTAAAAAAAAAAAAAAAAAAAAAATCTAAATTTCAAAAGAGAATTTAAAAAAGAAAATAATGATGTTTGCACTAGACGCTTTGATCGATCGACGATTTTCTTTTACATTACAAATCGATAATCGTATTGCCCTGGACAGTTCAGAATCCAAATAGAATAAGGTCACTACTTGTGTTTATATATTTATTTAATATGTTGTAATATGAAATTTTAATATTGCCATTCTCGCGAAATGTTGTTTATTATCGGAAAAGTGATTGAAGTTACAAAGAACTTTAGAAGTAAATCGACGATTGAAAATAATAATTTAATTGTCTCGCATTAATTATCCAATAAGAAATACATTGGGTAAGTATGTTTATGTTATAGTAATAATATTGACGATATTCATCTACAATCCTAATAATTGCTACGAGCATATATTTATTTAATTTTTTAGCATTAATATCGTAAAACTTCGAGACGAACATTTAACATACAAAAATGTTTATTGTATGAATAATGTATGACGACGGTGAAATTTCAAATTGAGCCCATTGCATTAGAAATTTTATTTGGCGCCGATCGTACTTGCGCGACGGAGCGCGATATATGTGCACGCTGCCTTTGAAAATTAGGGCTATTTATTGGTGACTTTATAGTCGCTTGAAACCTTATTTATTTTACTCGTCATTTAGTAAATCTCTGTTAAGTTTTGCCACATAAATTTGCACATAAGTTTTGCCGAAGGAGAAATAATTCAAGAAATACGTTGGCCGTAAGCGGAACTCTTTCTTATTCGGGCTCGAGGCAGTTAAAGACGAATTTTTGCACGAATAAGTGAAATCGACCGGCTGGAATTCAATATAGTCGAAGCCGACGCGGAAAATATGGCCGCGCGGCTCGTAAAATTTTATCCGTCCCGAAATCGAAAGTTAAACCTAGGAGGTTGGGGTTTGCGCTCACTCGGTCGGCCGGAGTTATCTTCGTGAAAACAGCGGCGCCTCGGTCGTGACAGTTTTCACTGGGTCTCACCCCTGAGCGACTAAACGAGGAGGCACGATATTTATCTTTCAGGGAGGTGCGTGAGGAGGGTTAGCGTACTCAGCGGGACCAAGGTCGTGCCAAGGAGGATCGTCGTCGGCTTTAAGAATATCGCTGGTCGGATCGTTGAGCCGGTATCCTCCACGTGCTGCTCGCCGCCTGGAATATCGGAAAGTAAGTGTACTCGCGCCGAGCCTGAAGAAGCTGCTGCTACTAGTGCGGGTGCTCCTGTTAGTGCCGCTCGTACATCGAGGCTCGTTCCAATATGTCGAGCGAGACGACCTCCGACGAGGAGTCCTCTCAGGAGGATTTGCAGAGATACGACGTGGACGATCTCGAAATGATCAGAACTATCGGTAAGACTGTTTGCAAGAAATCTTAAGCTCTCTGCCACATTTTAATCGTCCACTGATGTTTTGATTGAATTTTTTTTATAACAATATTGATCGATCGAGCGTCAGTCACTGTTTTAACAAGTCATTTGTTATTGACGAAGATCAATTGTAAGCGGGCGATTAAGATTGAGTAATGTAAGTGTGTAGGGAGTGGAGGGAGTTAAAAATTGAAGATATTCGTCCTGTATAGATGTAACGGGTCACGGTATGAATTATATTGGCACTCGAGGCACACGAGAATAGAATGAAATTTAAAAATATGCAATATCCCATTGGCCGCTATACTTAAGATTATGCAAAAGCGAACAATTGCTTGTCGATGTCTGCCTACGTTCTATAAAATTGTCATTAGAACTAATTTATTTTTGTAGATTAGAATTTTTGGATTCGAATAGTTGAGGCACATATTGTTGAAATCCGAGATATATACATGCCAAGTAAACATATATGCTAACAAGAGAATTAATTTATAAGGTATTTAAATTTTGCCAATTAAGCTAAAACATTAAACCAACTTCTTTTTTACATGTGTTGTTATTATTGCAATTATACATAATAAATGCGCGGTTGTACGGTTAGTAAGAATATGTGAATATAAGTTAATTAAAATGCATTGCTTCCTATTAAATAAGATTCTGAAAAATAAATATTATCTTCGTATTATATGTGAAAGTTTTATTTAAATTTGTATATTAAACTGTAAATTTTTGTATTCAAGTTTCTCGGTTATTAAATACAATATATGGGAATTTTTTCTTTTTTTTTTTCTTTTTTTTTTTTTTTTTGTGGAAAACCGATTAAACTTCTCAAACTTCTCCTTTATTTTCTTTGTATTGTAAGAAGGACTATTCGTTATACAATAACTGCTTGCTATGACTTTTACAAGAAGTTTACATGTTCAGCATTGAATTTTTTGCATCTGTAAGCTATAACTGTGCGTATAAAAATAGTAAACAATCGTTGAATAAAGGAAGGCTGAGTTCACATTATTAACACTTACGATCTCAAATTAGCTAGATAAAATCATTGGACAATTAAAACATCATTATGGCGTTAAAAATAGTTTGATCAATTAAAAATAAAGCCAAGAAACCAATAGATTAAAGCAGAAAAATTATAGTTATAATCGTATACCTGTCCGAAAAGATAAAATTAAAAGAAAATTAATATCTTTCAAGTAAAAAAAAAAAAAACTTCTAGACAATTCTTTTTATAAGCTACTGCATTACGAACGCTAAACAATTGCTATTAATTATTAACTAAACAGAAGGTCATATTGTTTCTCTTACCTAACTACCATCTAATTATTTATTTAACGTATTCATAAAAAATTGCATAGTACACTTTTAAATTGCTTTATCCTTCTGACGTTTAACTATGAAGTGATGATTTTTTGTTTTATGCATATAAAATATCTGTAAAAATTAACAACATCGAGTGATTGATTATCTTGGAACAGCTAATTCAATAAATCATGTACGAATTTTTAAATGAAGTTATCAGAAGATAAATCTGCCGGATAAAATCTTGATGTAATTGAAGCAGAAATTTTTCGATTCAATGTATTTTATGTTAAAATAAAAAAATTAATGAAAAAATATTGTTATTTGATATTGTCATTGAGTACTGTAATTGTGTGTAATAGTGAAATACTTCATTATCGAATACTTATAAAAATAATGGATACATAAAGTAAAATTGTCTAGTTTGTAGTTTTTATTATGGTATCCTATAATAAACTTCATGGTATATAAAGTATAAAACGTATATAATTTTTATTATCATCCGATATAAATTCATTAATGCAAGCATGCAATTTTTACAGTTTTGTTGTAAAATAAAATAAAAATTGCCTCGACTTATAATAATGATTAGATAAATTTGTCGAAATGATAATATGTAAGCGTTAACAAACGGAGATTTCCTAAGTTTAAAATTATAAATCATCCGTAGTAAATCTGAATAATTTAAAAAGTATTTCAAAGGCAGCGTAAATATTTGTTATAAATATTTGAATAATAATCGACGATACTTCCATTATATAATTATTAAATTTCCATTATTAAACGATTTTTCCATTATTTTTATCATTAAGATATTAAAATTTGAAACATAACGTGCTAAGATCTATAATAATAATGCATCATCGAGGGAAAAATTGTATTTATTTTTCATTACCATCCAATTTTTATTATTATAATATTTCATAATACATTTTAGAACATCCATTTTATAACTGCATAAACTGAGAAAAATAATACATAATTTTAATCTAAAGTATAAATTTCATTTGCAGCTTTATAAATAATTTTTTTAATAATCTAAGCCAATTAAATTAGTACCTTGTTTATTATAATGCATTTTATAGAATTTCTATTTCCAAATGGTTTATGGACTCAATTAAATTAATTGTTTCGAATAATTGAAAGGCAAGTGAAGAAAATAGTAAGATAATTTCATATAAATGTCTTTGAATTTGTTAAAATACAATTAAACACGTTATAGACCATATACGTATATACGTATACATAATTCAAAATTGTTTCATAAGGAAAAAAATAATACGACAATGAAATAATAATATTGTTACGTAAAATTATTATTGCTGAGAAGCATAACTTTCAAAAAATATTTTATAATAATAAAAAAAGTTTATAAGTATTTATGTATGTTTAATTGTGATTGCACGTACATTTTTATATTTATGTTGCGAGTTTTTCTTTATGACATCAATTTATTGAGTTAAAATTAAATATTAGTTACATCACGTACATATTTCTACCAGAATTAAAACAGAATTTGTAAGAATTAAAATAATAATAACGCTTGGTAAAAGATAAGGATTTTATTGAGACATTATATATCATGACATTAAAATTCAAATTTTGTTTTGTTTTGTTTTGCTTTTTTTCTTTCTTCCTTTAATTATTATCTCGCGAGTAAGGGCTGAACATTAATGTGGAAATTTTTGTTTGAAATAGACGTCAAAAAATAGTGATGGAAGTAATGGAAAAATAGTTTCTAGAAATTAAATCTCCAATTATTTTTGTTTCATTGAAATTTACCAAATAACGTCTGATAATTGTTCATCTACTCGGGCCTTTTGCATTCGTTTTCATCTATTTTTTTCTTATTGGACGATAGTGGCCAAGTAATGCGGCAAGTGAAAGTCGACAGTGACTGACGTCGCCCACAATATTTTACTTCCCGACGCGATGTTTTAGCATCGTATACATTAACCAAGCCGGTTAATGTACTTTTGTATCGTTTTTGCCTCATCCTCTAGGTGCGACGAAAGGTACTCAAAGTCTGCGTGCAGCTCGGAATAAAGACGAAAATTTTCCTCGCTGGCTTACTTGCGACCTACTTACTTGCCAAGACGTTCTCCTTTCCTTATTTGTAGTAGTTATACGGTTCATGTAACTTCTTGTGGGCGAATTGTTGAAGAACACTTGCGGGAATCCACGTCGGCCGATGCTTGTCACCGCTGCGCACAATTAATTGGCTAGAAATCCGTTGAAAGAGAGATTTCTATTTCGTTTTCGAGAGTTCGTTGCAGCCATTGTTGCCGCTGCTAAGCCTCGTGTCAAGGATAATGTTGCGATTGTGCGTTAATTGAAGGTGCCAGTCTTTTTGCCCACATTTTCCTGACAATTATAAGGTTCGAGGAATTTGACAGTGAGCACTAGCCTACCTAAAGTCCCTCTTTTTATGCTCGTATTTTTAGAATGAGCATTAAAAATTATAAATTTGTTCGTGATGCTGTATTAAAAAGTTGTGGTAAAAGTAGCAGTTTTGTTGTCAGCTTTTGAAATTTTATGTCGAAAGGAAAGATTAGACCGATCCACCATTGCTTTACTCGAGGGAAAGTTTTTATAGCGATGTTTTTAGAGAATTTCGTGAGCAGCGTTGTAAAACGTAGCTGCTTGTTTAAATACATTAAAAAGATAGAAAATCGCCAATTTCAATTACGCGTTGTATTATATAAGCTTTTATCTGTAATGAGTAGAAATTTTAAGAAATTTGACGGTTCATGAGAAAGTTTTATTTGAACGTTGGCAAGCCAGTTAAATTAGCAAGCAATACCAAAGAAATATCAATCGAGCCAAAAAATTATATAAATTATTAATAATTAATTACCGTTAGTTTGTATATTAATTTTATACAATATTTGTAAGATATTAGTAATTGTTATTATAATATCGTAATGAAAAGAGTGATACGTTGATTTCTCGCTAATTTTCAGTTCAAACATTTCAACTGAACGTCATTTTATTATTTTATTACATATTAAAACGTATTTCAAAAATTTACCGTAAAGTGAAACATTCTTTAATATAATTACAGAGACTTTTCTCATATATGCGTATGGACGCGTATACGGGACTGTTAAAGTGTTTCAGAATATTTGATAATATTTTGTAAATGCAATACTTAATAACTGAATAAAACTGATTGTAAGTAATAAAAAAAAAAAAAAGAAAGAAAAACAAAGAGAAAAAAAAGAGAAAAAAAAGAAGAAAAAACCGAAGAAGAAAAAAAACTTGGACAAAATTGACGAATATTTAATATTTATGGTATATATATACATTTTTAAATAAATATTTTAGTAATTAAAAGTAGGGGATTAATTTTATAATATGTGTAAATATGAAATTTTATAAAATCATGGGAATAAATATTCGTGTCTTCTTCTGGTGGATGGTTTACCAAGAAAAGCAAAAAAAAAATTTGAAGCTACCGAGAACATAATTCCCAGTATTTTCTGAAATTAATGTAAGAGATGAAGTTTGTTATTGTATAGATTTATGCATCATTATTTACAAATTTTTTACGAGAGTCAGAAATATTTTTGAAAACATTTATTAAATGGAGAATGAAACTGTGGCACATTGAATTAGGAGGTATTTTAAAGCTATTAAAATGTATATTCAGGGTGGATGAGACTGACCTATATACTTACTGAATTTGCATCTATACAATTACGTCTAATGGTCTTACGGTGTTGTATTATAATTCTTCTGTAGCAACTAAGAAACATCGACGTTGAAGAAGGAAGGACCAATCATAGCCACGAATAGAGTAGCTATTAGCATCCTAACTAATCTTATACAAAATATTCTTAATGGTTATTTAAATGCTTTGAATATTAGATGCTACAATAGATACTCACAAAAAACCTATACTATTTGTCCTCATAACTTTCTACTAAGTTTTTTAACACACTTTTTAGATGCACATGTACATATCCACGCGCACATGCCACATATCTTTGTGCCCGTCATCCCATACTCACACACATATACTTTATTTATTATACACTATATATATATATATATATATATATATATATTTTTTAATTTTTTTATATCACATTACTTATTACTGTAACTAGCTAAAAAAAAAAAAAAAAAATTGAATATGAGGTGAAAATAAGTGAAATTCAATAAATGTAAACAGTGATATTACAAAAGTATTGTAAACAGCATTCCTGAAAAATTCCTGCAAAAATATGTATTAAATTTCTTAAAACATTAACAATTAATATTATATCTATCTGATTTATTTGATTTTATACATAATCTTTATCATTAATACAACTTTAGAAGCAAATTAATGAAACATCGAGCAAATGACTTTATATTAACGATTGGAAATCGAATGATATAGTTAATCTATTAGATGTTGATTTTAAAGTCTCGAAAAACAGAATAAAACTAACGTGAAGCTTCGCTTTTTGACAAAGGGACCGGAACGTTCGGTAGAGTCATATTGTGCCGACATCGCGGGAAGCCACTGGCTTTGAAAATACTATCCATGGTTGACGTAATCCGACTCAAGCAGGTAGATCACGTGCGCAACGAAATCACGGTCCTCAAAGAAGTCAAGCATCCCTTCATCGTTAACATGTGAGTGTAATTGAAAAGCCCAGCGACACGTGCACGGACTTTATATTCTAGGCGCATATTACGACATTTTACGATGCCAGGCATCACGCGTTTAACTCTTTACCAAAAGTGAGTACAGGTAGGTGGGCCTAAGTGTAAGGAACCTTATGTACCATTTTTTACAAAATACTTTCTCAGCCTACCCGTTCTTTCTTACGACCACAACTTCCGTACAAAGGAATTAGCGTGGTTAGATTACGATCATTCTTACAGTGTATTCAAACAGACATTCTTACAAATTTTCTAAATATAATACCTTCACATATTATATTACGTACACTACGCACGCATTAAATGTGCTGAATATTAAAAATGATGTATCTCGTTTTGACAAATACTTACAATAAAACATATTTATTTGTCACTATTACATCTAAACAGAAAACCTTCACTTACTGTAATATTATAAAAACACTTGTATTTATTTGCAATCACTATTTATTTATTAATAAGGTACATATATCCTAGTTAGCCCTTTGTATGAAATTATTTTTATATAAATTAATATGCATACACACAGACACAGACATATTTATATTTATATTTATATTTATATTTATGAAAATTCAGAAATTTCTCTTCGAAAGATCTGATCTTTTGTTAATTCTCGTTTTAAACGCTAAAATTTAACAAAACATTATAATCAACGTAGCAAAACAATATCGTTATTTGACATAATTTTTTTGTAAGACTATTAATAAGTATAATTAATTATTTAATATACTTCTTAATATCGACTTAATTATTCATTTGAAATAATAATAAAATTTACACCACTTGCATACATACACATCTAATTAGTATTCAATGCTTAATGCTGAGGTTGTCTATCAAATTAAAAACTAAATAAAATTTCTAGAACAACTTTGAGAAAGCTCCGTTATATCGTTAAAATGTATTGTATTTGTATATATTTTATCTTCACTCAGGCTTTGGAGCGGCAGAGATCAGGCGAGGGTTTACATGTTGCTCGAATTCGTCGCTGGTGGGGAGCTTTTTTCATATCTACGGGCGGCAGGACGTTTTTCAGGCAGGACGAGCTGCTTTTATGCCGCCGAAATCATTTGTGCTCTCGAATACTTACACAGCAAACACATCGTCTATAGGGACTTGAAGCCAGAGAATTTGCTGCTGGACAGTCAGGGACATCTCAAGATTACCGATTTTGGATTCTCGAAGAAATTAAGCGACAGGTGACGACATTCATTAACATAATTGACAATACAGTTTTGTAAAAGCTTTTATAATAAAAGGATATTCCTTTAGGCATAATAGCTTTCTAATAATAAATCTCTATTATTTTCGTTTCTTTGATGTTTCATTACTGTCTCGTAAATTACAAGAAAATTGTGCAATTTTGAAATATTTGTTGCATTTTAATAGCACTGTATTAATGTAATAATCATGAAAATTTTATTATTATAAAAATTTAATTCAAATAACTATATATATATATATATATATATAAAATCATCATAAATTCGGTACATCGATTACTTTATACCACATACCATAAAGTCTATGATATATGCTGACATGGCGGGATATATCATTTATAATTTTATTCGATGGATTATAGATAGATTAGATGCAGAAAAATTTTACACACAATTCATATAATCTGTATAAATTATAATTGTATACATGGAATACATTGTTAATTAGTGATAAACATTCGAACAATTAATATGAATTACGATTATTTCGAACAACCAAATAATTTATAGTTGCTATAATTTTTACCATTAATAATGATATTCTTGAATTTAAGCCAATAGTAGTAAATTTAAACATATCATCGGTCGGTTATGGAAATTCATTAAAAATTAATTAAAAATGTTCTTCTTCTTCTACACTATTATAATGTGTAAACAAAAATAATCTAATCGTGTTTTATGATTATAGTATAATGCGATGACAAGGAAAATTAATAGACGTTATAATGAATTTTTATAGATAGTCACGTATATTCATGAACAAGTGGATGCTTACGAATGTTATCGATCTACATTAAAATTATGCTACTTAAAATATTAGTATACACGTATTCATAAATTTATAACGATAATTACTTTCAGGCTTAATGCCAAATACGTTCATTTAAATTTATGTTCTCGTCTTATTTTTCTTTATAGTGCATGTTTCTTGCATTAATTATTTCAATTCAATTATCAAAATGCTTTTAGCTTCTGATATTTTAATTAAATAATAACGTGGCTGTGATTTAATCCAATCGAGTTAATGGGATTTAATTTAAACAGGACCTGGACCCTTTGTGGCACACCCGAGTACTTAGCTCCCGAAATAATCCAGAGCAAAGGTCACAACAAAGCCGTTGATTGGTGGGCTCTGGGTATTTTGATTTACGAAATGTTGGCAGGTTTTCCGCCATTTTTCGATGACAATCCTTTTGGTATTTACGAGAAAATTCTCGGAGGTAGAATAGACTGGCCTAAGCATATGGATCCCATTGCTAAGGATTTGGTAAAAAAATTATTGGTTGCCGATAGAACAAAGAGGCTTGGTAATATGCGACAAGGAGCTGAAGATATCAAAAGGCATCGATGGTTCAAGCTTCTTGACTGGTCACAGGTATCACTAAAATATTAATTAATAAGACTAATTTAGAGAAATGATTAAATGATTAAAGTTTCCTTTAATACTATAGAATATAAAATGTAATTAGATTGTCATTATGTCATGTTGAATTCAATTAATGATGAATTGATAATTCATTATTTAATATGGAATATTTTTATTACACAATAAAATTACGATCTATTGCTAACGAAATCTCCATATAATCAATATTATTTTATTGTTATTACAATTCATACGTTCTTTTATGTAACGGCATATCAAGCGAATAATTAAATCTAAAATATTATCAGCTTTAATGCGCGTTACTTCGATACAACGTTTAATTGATACAAACTTACAGGTGCCACTGAGAGGTTTAGTTCCGCCCATAAGTCCAAGGCTAAAGGCACCTGGTGATCCAAGTTGTTTCGACGACTATCCAGAAACCGATTGGAGATCGCAGCCTCCATTATCAGCCGATCAATTAGCCTTATTTCAAGATTTTTGATTCTATGCCAATATGGCTAATTAGCAGATAACGATACAAGTACAAAATCGATGCAGAATTGCATATAAAATAAATGTATGTGTATTTCAAGAAAGATATTTATTAATATTTTTGTACTTTACGCAGCAGTTGACTCTTTTTGCAATGAGTCTCTAGTCAGTTTGATATTTATAAGGTTCAAAAGATGATGGAAAAATTTAGGAATATTGTTGGATGAGTAGTAAAAGTATCAAAAGAAATAATTTTCTTTTCGACTAATATCACAATTGCTTTCCTAAAAGTCTTAGTTTATAATGGTGACAGATCGATTTTGATATAATTTTGTTATTAATTTAATGCAATTTGTAAATAAATTTTTATTATTTGCTATATTTTATTACTTGTTAAATCGTATAGAGTAATTAAGAAGAAAAAGTGATCCTATATACTTATATATTATAATATATCTGTAAATGTAAGTCCTTAATTGAAAATTTGTTATTAGAAGTGATAATAAATTTAAGTCGTCGAAATTATATATATTCATTATTTTACTAATTAATTGTCTTTTTTTTCTTTCTTTTTTTTTTTCATAAAAATGAATTAAAAAAATTATTGAATTTAAAATAATAGTTCGTATGAAACAAATTAAATAACAAAAAATAGGACGTATTTAATCTCTGAAAAATTATTAATGGCCAAGCAATAAAAACATCGATATTTGATTTTTGCGTTTTATTGATGGAGCTACTTTGATACGATAAACGATTTTAAGAAAAAGTCATTCAACAATTGCGTTAAGGAGACATTATTTTCACAAGAATTTTGTAATTTCTATTCTAATGCGTTTCTTCAATATCTTCATTGCTTGTATATACAAATTTGTCAACTGTATGATTTTTTATAATATTCATACGTAATTTTTGGCTTATGAGAATTTGTTATCTAGATAATAATGGATGGATAGATAACGTTAGTCGGAATGATATATTTTCTTGAATTTTCAATTGTTTTTAGTTTTATTTTATATCACTGTATTACAATTTTATAAGTGTTATAAATTACATTAGTAATGCCTAATGAGAAATATATCATTATAAACAATAATTAAACGATGTTTTTTTTCATTATATATATATATATATATATATATATATATATATAATTAAATCTACATTAATAAATATAAAAGGAGATTTCATTTTTATTTCATAATGTAGATTTTTTTGCGCAGTATATTATATTCGAAAAGAATGTGAGTATTTAAAAGATTGTTTAAATTTAAACTATTAAACATATTAAAAAAAAAAAAAAAACAATTTTGTATTTTCAACTGATAAAACTTTTAATGTTCATAACTACAAAAATATAAAACAATATTATTTAATTTAAATAAATCATTGACACTGCTTTAAATATACAATATTAAAATGGATCAGATGTATTATACTTTTAATATTTGGTTATTCTGACATTTTACTAGATTTTACTAAGAAAGATAAAATATATATGTGATAAAAAATTGATTTTATTTTAAGAATAAAAACTGTGTTTAATATTTTGCGCTTACTTAATTAGACGTAGAAGACGTTGTATGTTTTTAATTAAAATTATTGAACTGAAATTGAAAATTAAACAACATATTTTCCTTAGAGATTAACAAATTACTGTTAGAATCTCAAAAAAATCCTCCAGAAGCAGAGGTATATATATATATATATATATATATATATATATTTAAGTGTATTAATTTAAAAAATTTAAAAACATTAATTAATATTTTAAATAAAATTAAAATTTATGAAGAATAAAACAAATTTAGAATCCTTCATTAATAGGAATTTTACATATTGTATAAGCATGTTTGCAAAATTACATTATTTTACTTCTACAAAAAGAGTATTACTTCAAGTGAAGATAAAAAATAAATATTAAATACTTTTACTTTGAAATTAAGTCTTTACATTTGATATATATTTTTCAAATTAATGATTATACATCCTTATTAGTTAATATTACTGAAATAAAGTACGAAAAAAATTTAAATCATTGTTAAAATATAAGAATAAATTTTGATTACATAAATATACTTAAATGTATCTTCATTTAATTACAAGTAAAAGTTTTAAAATTCAATATTACAATAGTAAATTTAACAGTATTTTGTTTCATCAAAATACATTGAAGCTTTATGATTGTTATATATGATTAATTATAATAAAATACGTGTTATATGTAAAATAATGTCTTATCTAAATAAATACAGCAGCCACTAATCGAACAATTATAATGAAATATATATATATATATATATATATATATATATATATATATATATTAAAAATAAATTCTAGTTTCTATGAATTACTACAATTATAGCATATAAAATTTAATATGTTTTCGAATTAATTTATTTGTATAGCTTGGAATTTCGAATTATAATGGTCAATGTGAACATTATATCAGTTCATCTTTAATACGTATTAATTTTTATTAAAATATGTTGGAACAGTTTTTTTTTTATAGTACGAATAAAGTAAATTATGAATTTGAAAATAATAATTATCCAAAAATTTAAAAAATTTTTTTCCTTTTTTTCATTGAGATATTTTAGCCTTTGTATTCATTTGATATTAGAATAACAATAACTCATAGAATACACACATAATGATAAAGCTTATTAGAATAAGTAAATTTGTATTTTATTAGGTTGCGATTGATAATCGCTTCTTCGTACATATGAAAATAATTAGCTGAAAAAATGACGATTTACGCAGGTATTATTTAAGATGTTGGTGAACCTTCCGATTTGTCGTTGTTTTATTTATGTTACTCCTAGTGCCCCTAATCTGCCAGCTTTTTCAGATTTCTAAATGAGACACATCTAATGGGCCGCACCAATGGGATTTTTGAATATTTCATTTAATTTCTGTCTCCTTCTTGATATCCTCGGTATGGTTAGCAAGTCCTGGGCGAAAGTTATACGGCAAACTATAATTGTATATCTGCCGCTACAGACAGATAGATAGATGTATATGAGATATCCAAGAGTTCAAAATAAATTCAAATTTTTTTAACATTTTTTTTTTTTTTAACAATTTTATAATAAAAGTAAAGAATGAAATTTAAGAGAAAAAAGTAATTCTATTTAAAATTGTCGTGTCTATTTCGTCTTTTCGTAAAATAGTAAGATTTTAATCAAGTTTAAAGAATAAAACATCATCTCGTTAGAATGGCAAATATAGGCGTAATTCATTCGGGAGTCTTCAATTTTTCAAACTATTCATCTCTTTATTCCATTGTACTATCTGCAGTGTCAAAATTCACCATTACGTACTTTTTTAAACGCGACAATATGAAATTGTATCCGATCTTTAGGTATTCTGTCTGCACATTAAATCAACATTTTTATTAGCCATCGCCTCTTAACAAATAGTGTCATTCGATTGTTTAGTAGTCGAACGCTTGAAAGGAATTTTTACAATTTCGTGCTACCTTTTGCTCAACTATGTAGCACAACTATTTATGCTATATAGTATGTATCACGTAGATTTCTGTCAAAGTGCGCGCAGCTGTTCTATTCAAGTATCCGTGTGTTCACACACTCACTTCCGAGTCATACATTAATCCAGCTAAAGTGCATTACCAACTATTAGTAATGAACGTTTTGACTTGATATCAAGTAGGGACATTATATTAAATGTCTTTATTTTTACTTGTCGTTATTTTGAAATATTCTATTTAACTGTATGTTTAAATTTAATATTCCTCAACCGCGAAAAATTGTGCAATATGACATAATGATCGAGAAAATCTATAATATTATTCTTAAGACTCTTTTCTGATTTATCAAAATAATATTTCGCGAAAGTTTGAAAAATATTATCTTCTAGGTTTATTATGTTTCAGATCCTTAATGAACTTTGCCTATTTATCTTGAATTTTAATAATAAATAAATAATTTGTAATTTTCAAATTTATTCAAATACATTTAAATAAGAAAAGAATATCATAATTTTTCGGGAAATAAAGAATTGCATGTACACGTTTCAATCTCGGTAATTACTTAATAATTTCATTCAGAAATAATGTAGTAATGAATAATAGATAAAATATTTATTAGTGATTTATAAATAATTTAATGCCTGGAATATAAATTGTTGTATAATAACAGATATCATTTGTAAAGAAATGTATTGTTTAAATTTTGTAATAATTGGCCAATAACAATTTAGCTTGAATATATTCCAGTTAATTTAATTTTAAGCCAATGTAGTATTAAATTATTTATTTATATCGTTCATTAGCGACAATTTAAAAACAAACACAATATTTATTTATTTTTTTTTTGTCTTAATTATCGTTGTATCTATTCCTATAGTAGTCTCTTTTTATCTCTTATTTATTCTCTGTGCCAAGCTCTAGTTATAAAAATATGGATAATTTAACATTTTCATAATATTAATAATATTAATACCTCATTTTTATGAGACACTACGTATGTTAATTATTTATTTTAAAAAATTTGCATGGTATAACTCATTATTTACTAAAATGACACTTGCTTAATAATATATTTATCTTTAAATTATTTAGATAATTTTCTTTGTGCTCAACAGATAAAAATTCAAATGTCTATTTTTATTTTTCGTTCTTGTAAATTTTATTACATTAATAAAATAATTAAATTTTTTTTAAAATAAATGTAAATATTTCAGTGTATCCTCAATAGTAGTGTGGTTTTAGAATTATTGATGATACGACCTTTAAGTTAAAATATTTAAAATAATTTTAGTAATTAATTCAGATGAACAGATTGGCATTTAATTCGTTTTTAAGGGATTAATAAATACGTGCATGAGAGTGTGAATTCGCCATCAGTTGATTTTTCAATAATCCGATAATACATATTACAATCTTCTTATAATTTCATGTAAAATGAAATTCCTATATTAAAAATAGTTGATATATTATTTGTATTAATTGAGTTAACAAGAGTTGTAACGCAGAATTTTGACGAAAGTTATGAATAGCTTTTTCTCTCATATATAATCAATGCCAGATTAAATTATGATTTTGTTTTAG